GGCGGGGCTTTGTGGGGCGTGCCACGGCCCAGTGGGGTGCGGGGGGTGCGTGCGGGGGGCGGAGGCCTTCGTCAGTCGCTGGGACGATGCCAGTTAGTGTCCTTGATAAAGCACGTTGGTGTCGACGGAGCCCCCGGACACTAAGGGGAGAAGGTGTGTGTGTGTGTGGTGTGCAGGTGCAGAGCAACATCACACTCGGTAAACGGTTCTTTTCAGAGTGTCGTTTAATCCCGCGAACGGTGGTAGTGTTGTGAGTCGTCTCTCTCAGTCTGACCTCAGCCTCTCCGCGGCCGGCTCTACGTGCGACACCTGATGTTCCAGGGCTTGGGGCGGAAGAACACGTGCAGGGAGGTGGAGCCGTAGTCGTGCATCCACTTCTGGGTGCAGGCGGGGCCGTTGGGTGTCACCAACTGGGGAAACGAGACAAAGTAAATGAGCTTTTCGGCGTCGTTAACGACGTTGGAGATGGGAATGTTGTGCTCGTTATCGGGTACAGCTCGCGGACGTGACAGGGTGGGTCTTTTATACCGCGCGCCCCTTTGGTTAGACTGGATCGCATGCAGGCGTGCACGAGGGTTTGCCTACCCACTCTCACCACGGCGCCTTCTGGCCCCCGTGCAAGTCAGCAACCCGTCTGTACTCCGGCATACGGAACGGTATAACCCGAGAGGGGTGCGGTTTAGAACACTCGCCCTGTATAAGAACTCTCAGAAAGTATTTACCCCAGAAACATAAAGCGGTCGACCGGCATTTGGCCAATCAGACCGACAGTCGATTGATACTTTCATGTTGCTCGGGTAAGACTCCCCTGAGAGGGCGCGGGGGCCGAACTTTACTCACGGGGGCGACGAAGGATGGCGGGTTGATGAACCACTTGCGGTGAGGGAAGCAGCGCTGCGAGGTCTTGCCGAAGATGATGACGCCGAAGCCGAGCATCTGCTTGGTCTTGGCCTCGTACAGCATGTAGTAGGGGCGGCGCTCCTCGCAGCCGGACTCCTTGGTCAGGTTGTAGAAGTAGTGCTGGCCTGCCGAGCACAAGAGGGAGTGGGTGAATGACGGGGAGCTCTGGTCCCGGACACCACGCCGCCCGCCGACGAGACCCTCACCCTGGCCGAAGAGGCAGCCCTGCTTGGTGTAGTTGGTGGTGGCGGCCAGCTCCTCCTCCTCGAAGGCGATGCGCGCGGGGGCGGCGCCGGCCTGCTCGATCCAGATGCCCTCGGCGGTGTTGGTATCGGCGGTGAGGTTGCGGCCCTGGCCGAGGGCAAGGAGGCCTGCAGGGCGGAGATGTTCAGCGATTAGCGTCAGCCTACCGGATCCACGCCACGCACAGGAGGGCGCCGCCGCCCGCGAAGGGGGAGGACGTACTCGGGTCGGAGAAGTAGGCGATGGCGGAGTACACGTCGACGCCCAGCACGGTCTGACGGGTCCAGTCGGGGATGGTGCTGAAGTCCTGGGGGACCTTGGTCTTCTTCAGATCGGCGACGGAGTGCTGGGGGAGGGAGAACACGACAACACGCGGTAAGACGCGGCCCGAAAGCTGCCAAAGACCCCCGTGCAGCGGCTGCCCCTGGGCCGCCTCTACGCCACCCTTCGGCCGCCCCAAGGCCACCCTTAGGTTGCCCCTAGGCCACCCTTAGGTCGCCCCTACGCCACCGTTCGGCCACCCCTACGCCACCCTTAGGCCGGCACTCGGCCGCCCTTTGATTGCCCCTAG